GTGTGTGTGTGTGTGTGTGTGTGTGTGCATTTGTATGTGTGTGAGTGCATTTGTATGTGAGTGCCTTCATTCACACCCACAAATGAGCATTTGTATAATATGGATGTCTAATTGTGTTTGTTCTTGAGTATATAAATAGTGGGAGGGTGTACTTAGGTCCGTCCGTACGAGCAAGTAAGTGTCGCAGTGAGCGTGTATTTGTATTTGTGTTATCGTTTGTGTGTGAGTGCGCGTGTGTGTATGTGTGTTCGTGTGTGTATGTGTGTTTGTGTGTGTGCATACGTGTTCGTAAGTGTGTATGTGTGTTCGTGTTTGTGTATGTGTGTGTGTGTGTGTGTGTGTGTGTGTGTGTGCGTGTGTGTGTATGTGTGTTCGTGTGTGTATGTGTGTGTGTTCATGGGTGTTCGTGTGTGTGTATGTGTGTGTATGTGTGTGTGTGTGTGTATGTGTGTGTGTGTGTATGTATGTGTACGCGCGCGTGCGTGTGTGTGTATGTGTGTTCATGAGTATGCCAGTATGTGCACATGTGTTTGTTCACGTATTTGGTTGTAGTTGCATCTGAATCAGGTACTCAATGGAACAAAGATATAAACTGCTCACTTTACTTTTCCCCGGCCTCTGTCACATTCCAGTGTCGAAGGGAGAAGAAATAAACGTCTTCTTTTTGTTGTTGCATCGTGTTTTGCTCCGTTATCAAAAGAAACAACTACAATATTTTGCTACCTCAGAATTACAAAGTCCTGGTTGATATTTTTAGCCGTTTTGAGTTACTAAGACCACGAGGCCAGGAGTGAAATGCTCTCTATCAAAATTGCACGATTATTTTGAATCGTTATCAAGATATTCAAAGAATTGCATTCTAAAAAACTTGAATATTGTGAAACTCAAAATCTTTGATATCAAATTTTTCAAAAATAGGAACTGAGCAGATAGAACTCTCGAATTCTGAGGTAGCGACCAGTTTCGCTACAGTCTAGTGTGCGCAACTACCCCACCCCTTGCCAGCCGCCTTGCCAGCGCCCGTAAATTGGCTACAAATTGAGTTCGCGTCATATTGAGCAATGTTTGCGACAGAGTGTGCAATCTAAGATGATGTTAAAATATAAGTCTATGCATCAGTGAAGCGACAGAGTTACACTTGTGAAAAGGGTTGATTCGAATGACGTCAGATGTCGTCACTGAATCCAATAGGGTTAATTTGTGTCAACTATGATTCTTCTAGTAATTATCAGATTTCTCTCATTTTTGAACTTTTTGTTTGATAGAAAATGACCGATGGCATTATATGCTTTTATCTAATTTTCATCACCCTATATTTTGTCCACCCACACAACACCACCCTCATGCCACTGTCCAGGGCAAAATCAGTTTGCACCTTAGAACTAGTCAGTGCAAATTCATTATGAGTACCTTCACTAGCGGCACGTGGCTGCTTCATTTTTCAGGCATGGAAACGGCCATGCACGTAAAAATCAAATGCACTTTATAATGAAAATCTTACAGCCAGTTACTTCTTGAGTTCTAACAGGGATATTATTTTTAAAAAAAGAAAAAAAGACTCCCCTCCCAAAATATAAATGTAAAAAACAA